ACAACTTGTAAAATTAGTCATACCGGAAAAGTTCTATTTCACTGAGGGTGGGCTTCAACAGTTGATTGTATGTTGCCATAGTCTGATGAGTACAATAATAGTGGCTAGCAATTCGTCCCAACTCAGTTGTGTGGAAGGCTCCAGTTTTACGGTCATACTTGAGAAGACCAGAACGTTCTAGAAGCTGAGCTGCTGTGTGGATTAAATCAGCTCTGTGGCGTCTGAGACGGGGATCCTCTCCAAGTTGCTCTGGTGCTACTCCATACATTGAAGAAGAGCGAAGCATCCTGTTGGATAGAGAAATGTTGGTTGTTATTTCTCAACTTAAAGTAACAAAAAAGTGTTAGTGACAGAGAAAAGAAAGATATACATACCTAATATATAGATAAGTGAATCCAAGCCAGTTCACTGCATCATCCATATTTTGAATTGTTCCTAAAACGATTTCTGCATTGAGCATATCAGGAAGTTTGCTAACCATTTGTGATTCAATGGGCAACTGTTGATTCAGCAGTGACAAGTAGTACTGGAGCTCACTGTGGTTGGTAATCAATATACCTTCACCCTTAGTGTCATACTGGGGTCGACCAGCACGACCTAACATCTGGAGCACGTCTAACGCACTCAACTCTACCCAACGTCCTTTCTCAGGGTTGTACACTTGTGTGCCCTTGATAATTACAGTATGAGCAGGAAGATTGACACCCCAAGCTAGAGTGGCTGTTGAAATGAGGACCTGGATGTGTCTGTCGGCAAACAAATCCTCCACCAGAGTACGATCCACCCTCGACATACCAGCATGATGGATAGCAAAACCATAGGGCAACAAATCCTTCAGTTCCCCGTTCTTTACTTGTTCAGCTTCTGTCCTAAGAACTTCCATGGAGGCCGATCCTTCTCTCAAAAACTGACCAAGAGAATCCTTCTCCAAGCACATGTCTCTAATAGCCCTTGCTGTTTTACCAGTTTCTTTTCGAGAATGCACGAATACAAGAACTTGATTGCGACCAGCATGCTCCATTACTTTCTCATAGACAATTTCATTCATCACCTGGAACCGCTTCATTGCTTTCTTCTCTGTCACACCAATATACTGTTGTTCCAATGAAACTGGACGGAAACTGTTGTCAAAGTAGAACAAGCCTGTTTTCGGCTCAACTCTCAGGAATGTAGCAACATCTTGGTAGTTGGGTAGAGTTGCAGATAACCCAATAATACGAACTTCCTCTTGAATAGTATTGCAGTTTCTGATAGTTCTTGCTACCAATGCCTCAAGAACAGGGCCACGCTCATCATGGAGAAGATGAATTTCATCAATAATGATGAGACGAACAAGTTGTGTAAAAGTTTTGTCCCCTCCTTTTCTGGTAATGATATCCCACTTCTCGGGCGTACAGACAATGACCTGAGTAGCGTTAATTTGCTCACGTGTCAGTTGGTGGTCTCCAGTCAATTCAGATACAGTCAGATTGTATGACTGAAGGCGTTTTCCAAAGTTACCAACCATTTCTTGTACAAGAGAACGCATGGGAGCAATATAGATAATTTTGAATTCATCAGCATTGATTGTACCATCAGCATTTATGTGCTTTCCTATTTCTCTCATCATGGTCAAAAGAGCCACGTTGGTTTTACCAGCACCAGTTGGAGCACATAGTAGCAGATTGTCATCAGAGCCAAGGGCAGCTGCATGCAAGCGACTTTGGATTCGATTGAGAGTTTTGAAATCCTTGAATGCAGGTTGAGCATATTTGGGGAGATCTTCAATTGGAACCAATTTTTCATCAGCAGCAAAAGGCTTTGGTTTCAGGGCAGGTACATGAACCTCTTCATATCCCTTACGTTGCTTCCTGAAAGATCCCTCTGGCAGTTGGCAACGCTTGCTGGACATGAAATGAGAGCCTTGAGAAAATATTAGGTCTTCAAGATCCAACAGGACACGGCTACCTTCAACCTGACCTCCTTTGCCTTCTGTGCCTTCATGAGCATCAGCCTCGCGCTTACGGGCTGCTCTGGCCGCTTGGCTTTCGCTTCCATTCATTTTGTCATCATCAACTTTACCAGTATCAAGCTGACGCAATATTTTGGCAAGGTTTGGGTCGTCATTCATGGCATCTCTTATTCTCTTCCGGTCCGAATCACTTTGGGACGAAGCCAATTCAGTGCAATATGAAATCATTTGCCTGTGTTTCTTGAGTAGTTTGATGAAATCAAAGCAATCATAACCCAACAGCAGCACTAGTAAGTTTTCGCATTCCCTGTCATCTCCAGCATCCTTCAATACTTTTAAGACTTCTGCAGCTTTAGATTGGGAAACAATAGCATCATCATAGATTTTGGAGAGTCGTCTTTGCAGCCAGTAGGCATCAATATCTAATGGATGCAAGGAGGTTTCTTTAGATTTTCTTTGCTCTTCTAGAGCAGCAAGCTGAAAGAAAGTCAGATTAGATTAGATTTTAACAGTTCTAGTCATAAGTCAAGGTAAGATACAAGGAATAAAATGAATCATACATTTTCTGATCTAATAGCGGCATCATCTTTAGCCTCTTCTCCTTCCTCTTCATCTTCATTTTCTGAAATTTCACCAAAGGTATTTTCATTGTCATCTTCCTCACCATCAGACTCACCAAACTGGACATTAATTCCATATGCTTCATCAATATTTTCCTCTGTAAATTTATGACATAATAATTAGTTCATTCACACAAATAACTTACAGAACTAGAGAGGGAAATTAAAACATAAAACTAACCTGCGACAGCTACCTCTTCCTTTGCACCAAAATCTGTTATCTTTTTTCCTAAATTGACTAGCAGTGCAAATCTTTCATCAGCCAAGCCTCCTAAAAGAGACTCTGTTTCTTTCTTCTTTTCACGCTCTTTCAATCTGTCATTCTTTAAAACAGACAGAACCTCATCTGCTGCACCGCACAGAATGTCTCTTGGCTATTGAGGGAAAGAAACATTAAGATTAGATTAAATTAAGTGTATGTAATAGATTGCAGCAAATATGTAAAGCATAAAGTTTTACCTGGTCACCCAATGCCTCCTGAATAAAACTTAACAAGACTTCATATGTCTGTCTTGTCTCCTGTGTCTTAGGACGGTATACAATACCAACCATTTCATCAACACCTTCTGAAAGCAGAGTAGCTCCCTTCATCCGAGCGAAGTCATACTGGGCTTCGTCTCGCTTCTGACGCCTGAAAAAATAAATCACATGAGATAAGCACCAATCAATAGGCAAGAAATAGTAAAAAATTAGAACTGCTAGGAAAACCATACTTTGCTTTGCGTTCTTCAGCTTTGTCTGGTCGGGACCTCATGAACCTGTCCCCCATCCGGGTACCGTCCAACTTGCCCACCAACGACATAACCTCTCCGGTTGCTTCATCGCGACTTCGTCTTTCGATGAGACGAACATCTGCTTGAAGGACAAGATTGGAGTTCTGAAAAAATTAATTGAAAATTAACGCATGTAACACTCAGAAAAATGGGACAAACTTTAAGAACGACGTATAAATAACGAAAGAGTTGGACGACTAAGACGCTTGAGGAAGAGGTTAGAAACGGTCGTAATCCTAGCAAGGCACACAAATGGGTGTCGACAACGGCACGAATTTCAGCAGTAATTGAAGGGAATTTACAGCAAGATTGTATAGAATGATTTGTAAAGGCTTAAAAGATTCATACCGCTTTGTACTCGTACTGAAGCTGACGGGCCGCTGCGTCCGCCATGGTGTCGCTTCACAACAAATCAAGTTTCTGTAGTTTAAGACGGCCCCCGCATTCCCCCGCGACTCGCAGGACCAACGCTTGAGCCCCGTCGGGAGCACTCGACTTTTAACTTGCGACAATTACTGCAATGCGTCAGAGTTAAGTGCGCCGGTCACAACACAACAAGCCGACCACCATCAAAACGAACATGGAGCGAAACACCGCGGGCTGCGTTTACAGGTGGCTTTCGCTGTTCGCAGCGCTCGCCTGCCCATAAACGAGAGCGCTATTTGCACGTCGGCGTGGCGGCACGAGTTTGAACTGTTTGAACAGGCGCGCTGGTATGACCCTCAAGCATGACCAGACAAGTGTGGCCCATCCTGCAAGCGCGGGTCCACTTTTTGGACATCCGAGATATTTGTGCATGGCTATTGTGTCCGCTGGATTTGACCTGCCTGATGATATATTACACGTCTTATAATTGTTAAATCGTTTAAAGCGTGATCCGCAAACCTTGTATGCGGCCTCGCATTATTTCGTTTCGGACTTCGAATATCGCTACGATTAGTGAGCAGTTAGTTATGAGCCGGACCATCTCCAGCCCCGCGCCAGCCCCCGTCGGCCTGGGGCCTAGGGTTGTGATGTCGGTGCGGGGGGAGAGGGGGAGAGGGGTCGGCAGCTGGGGGGCTCGGGGCAGCCCGTACCCCCCGATAGCCCATTGTACGTGGTCCTTGGAGCGGGACCAGCGCCGCCGGGGACCAGTACCTTGGCAGAACTCGGACCGCACAGCGACCGCCATGGTTTCCAGTAAGAGATCTCACGCGAACATAGCAGAAATTGCGATAACGGCGTAGGGGTTGTTTTGTTGCTGTTTGTGTTGGGTCGTTGACATCGCCGGCCTCCGCGGGGTCGCGGGGCGCTCTCTCTCTCCACCAGCCGTCCTGTCGCTGTCGGCGCTGGTCCTGGGCGCGCTGCTGGGCGGCGCCGCGTCGGCCGCCCTCGGGCCCCCGAGTCCTGCCGCCGCCGACCCGCACCCGCCGGTGCGGAGCACCCCGGTCAACGTCATCTTCGCGGACGACGAACTCGTCGACAACCGGAACAAGACCGGTGAGTTGTTCCACTGGAGAAGGGAGGGAGGGCTGGGCTGATGTGTGGCAACCCCAGCCAGGAGTTGCGAATATTTTCATTACATAATCTATTGTAAATTTGTTAATTGTAAATTTGTTCCCGAACTAAAGTTGTTTCA